TTATTAACATGATTAATTATTATTATTAACAAGATTATTATCATTAACAAAATATCATTATCATAATTATTTATAACAAGATTATCATCATTATTAACATTACTAATTATTATTGTTATTAACATGATTAATTATTATTATTAACAAGATTATTATTAATGACGGCATTATTATCATTGGCATAATTATCATTATTAACATTATTATTATTAACAAGATTATTATTATTATTATTAACCTTTTTATTATAACCAAGATTATTATCACTAACATAATCAATATTAACATGATTTATATCATTATTAAAACAATTATTACATTAACATTTTATATTTATTGACATAATTATTATTATCATGATTATTATCTTTTTTTTAAATATCATTAACATAATAATTATCAACATTAGTGCTGTTAAAGGTGAATTATTGTGATAAACAGCAGCTGTAAATCTGAATCGTTACAACATCCAACCATTAAAGAAGAACCACTTGGTCTCCTCTCCCACTAAACCCACTACTGCTCTCCTGTGTGTGGTGAGGTCATGTCTCTCACCCTGGTTTCAGGTGATGTCAGAGCTGCAGACCCTGTGGGTGGAGCTTAAGGCTCTGACCACAGAGGAGGCGGTGGCTGGCAGAGCAGAGGGCTGTTTGAGTTTACGTTTAAAAAACAGGAGGAGCTTCATCTGCAGCTGCAGCAACAGATAACTAATAAAAATATGTAGCAGTGTTTTCAGCTACAAACTAAAATCTAAAATCAACATTTGAATTCAGTTCCAGAGTCTGTTTGGACCTTCTGTCACTCAGGAGCATCACAGCCGTTCATTCATCCTTCTGACAACATTCAAATGTAAAAACACTGAACATAAAAACTGACAGGAAACACTGAAACCTGAGCTGAACATCTGGAAGAAGCAGAATCTAATCTCCCTGCTCTTTACCAGAACCAGAACCAGAACCATCCCACAATTCATGGACCTCAGGCTGTAGCACCTCCCATTAAAACTGCAACCAGAGACTCAATTAACCAGAGACTCAATTAACCAAAGACTCAATTAACCAGAGACTCAATTAACCAGAGACTCAATTAACCAAAGACTCAATTAACCAAAGACTCAATTAACCAAAGACTCAATTAACCAGAGACTCAATTAACCAAAGACTCAATTCACCAAAGACTCAATTCACCAAAGACTCAATTAACCAGAGACTCAATTAACCAGAGACTCAATTAACCAAAGACTCAATTAACCAGAGACTCAATTAACCAGAGACTCAATTAACCAGAGACTCAATTAACCAAAGACTCAATTAACCAGAGACTCAATTAATCAGAGACTCAATTAACCAAAGACTCAATTCACCAAAGACTCAATTAACCAGAGAACCAATTAACCAGAGACTCAATTAACCAGAGAACCAATTAACCAGAGACTCAATTAACCAGAGACTCAATTAACCAGAGAATTAAATAACCTGAGAATCAATTAACCAGAGACTCAATTAACCAGAGAATTAAATAACCTGAGAATCAATTAACCAGAGAATCAATTAACCAGAGACTCAATTAACCAAAGACACAGATAACCTGACACTCAATTAACCAGACTCAATTAACAAGAGAATTAAATAACCTGAGAATCAATTTACCAGAGAAACCATTTACCAGACATCCGGCTACCCAGAGACTCAATTAACCAGAGAATCAATTAACCAGAGACTCAATTAACCAGAGACTCAATTAACCAGAATTTCAATTAACCAGAGAATAAATTTACCAAACAATCAATTAACCAAAGACAGAGCTTACCTGACACTCAATTAACCAGACTTAATTAACTAGAGACTCCATTAACCAAAGAATCAATTAAAGAGACACTCAATTAACCAGATACTTAATTAACTAGAGAATCAATTAACCAGACACTCCATTAACCAGAGACTCAATTAACCAAAGACACGGCTAACCTGACACTCAATTAACCAGACTCAATTAACCAGAGACTCAATTAACCAGAGACTCAATTAACCAGAGACTCAATTAACCAGGAAGTGAAGAATCGATGAAATAACTTGATCACCACCCGTGACAGCTTGATGTTATTATCATTGTTTGTGTGGGTTCTCGGTCATCCAGGACATGGAAAATTGTAAGAAACATCTGGACTTCTGGTCTGTAGCTAAAGATGTGTGAAGATCCAGGTTTAAACAGAATGACTCGAGGTTAGTGGCAGGTCTATCTCACTGATGAAAGTCCTGAAAGTGTTCAGACTGTAGTTGCTTTGAAAAACATGACATATATCTGAATCAGAACCATGTACCGATAAGAACTGGGTCTGATTGTAAAACATCTGATTGGTCATGTTTACACTGTCATGAACATGTTTTTGGTTATTCTCACAGAAAAGCATCTATAAGAGGTCCTGTTAAATACTGGACCAATGAGCAGCATCACCAGGAGCAACAATCACATCTTATCGACAGCATCCTGACTGACGAGTGAAGCTCTCAGTCTGCTGATGTTCAGCTCCAGGTTTTACAGGAACAACTGCTGAGTCCAACAGATTCCATCGTTTCAGACTCTCCCACTTTCTCCTCCTGGACTCCCTTGTTTCCTGCCAGCCGGGTGGAGTTGGGGGGGCCGGCCTCTACAGGAAATGATCTCAGAGTTTCTGTCAGCTGCACAGGAAGTGCCCGTCCTGCTGTGGTCAGATCGCAGCGCTCCTGCAGGAAGGTGTCGGTGAAAACTTTCCTGCTTCCTTCCTCCCTGCAGTGGGTCTGATTCAGGAGGAAACTGAGCCGCCGGCAGAAGAACGTCCTCCAGAATAAAGACAACCCTTCCAAATTCAGCTCGTCTGTCAGCACGCGGTGATGAACTCCTAAAATAAGATCCTGAAGACTGCAGAGAAAACGAGCTGACGGGAGAGCTGTTTCACTTTTATCAACTATTCTGAGGGATTTCTTTCTTACAATTCACTGTTTCACCATTAAAACAAAACAGGGTAAATGTGACAGTTTCATAAAGAAGTAAAGATAAATTTGTTTTGTTCAGTTAGAAAAACTGAAGATGGATACCAGAACTAAAAACCTTTTCTACACAACACGCCGAAAATCACTGTCATCAGGCACCAACTTTATCAGATACTGTTGTCCAAAGTTTGACAAACATAAATATTAACTTTTTAATTTTTACTAAACAGAGTTCAAAAAACCACTAAATGTTTTACTGCAGCACAGATTTGTAAAACGTTTTGTTTGCATTTATTTGCTGTTTTTTGTAAATTATTACTAAATACTTTTAATGGCCTGGACATGTCTGAGGGAAATATCTGAATAAATAAATAAATAAATAAAAATACAAGAGAAGCAACCCAAACCCGATCAGAACCAGAACTTTAGCTGCTCTGACCTGTAAAGCTTCAGCCAGGCTTCGTCTCTGTCCCTCCAACAAGACGAAGGGACGAGTCTTCTCCAGGACGGGACGTCTCCGTCTGTCCACGCCTGAGGACACAAACAGAGAGCTTTATTTTTTTAATGAATGACTAAACTGACTTTCATTCATTCACTCACTATTCAGAAAAAATAAACGTGACCCGTCACATCGAAACAAGGATTAAGTCCAAAAGTTGTACATGGAGAAATAGGCAAATAGTTTTTTGACTAAAATGTTAACAAAG